AAGAAAGAAGCACATGTAACACATACATGTAGATATAGATTTGAGGAGTTGAGATCCTAATAGCAATTAGCATGCAGCACTGACCCTCAGGCAAAAACTAAGGGTTAATTGAATCATAACGTGGGAAAGTTTTCAGTAACGCGGAGGTTTCAATAATTAACTTTATCCATAAGTGGCTACTGATAGTGTGTTGGGCAGCTGTGCCGAATGATGAAACCCCCGACAGCTTGCCTTCAGGCTAAACAGGCAGGCGTGAGAAGTCTTAGACCGCTTGGTAGACCGCTTGGTAGACCGCTTGGTAGACCGCTTGGAAGACCGCTTGGTAGACCGCTTGGTAGACCGCTTGGTAGACCACTTGGTAGACCGCTCGGTAGACCGCTTGGTAGACCGCTTTCATTGAAACCCCTGCTACCGCTTATGTAAAGTGTATACTTTGACGTGTTCCATTGCACATTTCAACTAGGAGTCATAAAACCGAAGCCAAAGTAGTCAAAAAAACCATTCATAACTAAAGAAAATATAACAAGGAGCTAAAGAGAACTTAGCGTAAACATCATGATTAGTTTCGTAAAATAGGTTGTGGTTTAGTGCTTCGCTTAGGGACGAGAGTTTCTTCGCCCGCAGGAAAGTGTGAGAGCTTGAGTAACGCGAGCTGTACCGAGGTCTGCAAGGGGTCTGGCACTATAATTGAGTTAGTGCCAACCCCCCCGGCGAACCTCTGTTCGACTCGTCTCAAATCATTCCGCACGCAGAGGAACGACCGTCCTGGAGCGCCAATGATCAGGGCTTGTGTGCAGATTAGAAAATGTGACTACTTTTCCTTTGCATTTGATTGGTTGGGGAGATAGCCAAAGTTTTGTGGACCAATCGCAGAGCATTCCTTAGTAAAGCAAATGCAACCCTTGATTATTTGCCGCACTATATTGAAAATTATTTTATGATATTGATGAGCTGACACTTGAAACTACATGTACAAACGGTTTGATATATGTTCTTATATTTTACAATTGTCATATACCAGGAATTTAATAGCCAGATGTTGTGGTTTGATTTTCTCCTCACTTTACAATACCCCAAAACAATGCTTGTAAAAATTTTTTACACATTTTTATGTCCTTATGAAAGAAAACTTGTTGTATGCGATAAAGAGTATAGTGAACTTATTGAGGTTGTCGTGAAGTATTTAAAATAAGTAAGAATTAAATATAGTTACTGCCACCTTATGAAATAGTTTGTAGTATATTTTAATGTTTCAAAAGAGAAATGTAATTGTTTGTCTCACGTTGTGGCCACTTCGGATGTGGATTGCGACTTGTCAACTGCATACTGCTAATCTTCTTCAGGCGATTGGGTCGATTGAATACGCGTCAGTTGTATGCTGTAGTGCTCAGCTGTGATTGGATGAAATTATACGGCTGCGATTGGTGCATCTTCGGATCAGGTTCCTTACCGCATGGCTCTCCTGCTCTTGTGGAAGACTAGCAGTATGCAGTCGAAACATCGCCATCTAAATCCGAAGAGACCACATCATAAGACAAACGATTACAATTCTTTTTTCAAAGTATTATTTACGACGATGACTACCAAACCGATTTTACGGTATACTAGTGTTATTAAAATAAGGTAACTTTTGTGCACGCAGCGGCCTGGATAATTGCGCACTGAACTTCGGAATGAGAGGTCTAGGTTTGATCCCAGGCCCTCATTGTTTTGTGTGCCAGGGCAAGAGTTAACCTTTCAACTCCTAGTAGTGATTAACATGTAACCTCTCCCTATAATATCCATACATTATTCAGCAAACAGGTTATGAGAATAATCAAGCTTATCTTGTAGAAGTTTTTTTTAACTTGACCTAGCATCAAATTCTCATTACTAATTTATAGGGAGATGTGTAGCAGCCAGAGAGGAGAATTAACAATCAGATCTCGAGGATTTAAAAGTTAAGGGGTTTCAAGGAGTAACCTAACCGTTTGCGCATGTCTTCAACCTTCAACCCTCATGTCCTAACATCAGTATCTATATTCTCCCTACTGTTTTCTGTAGACATCCTAAGGTACTGACCAGGAGAATTTGTTCAACATTTGAGAGCTGCTTTCGTTGGTTATCATTTCCCTTATTTTCACGACCTTAATGTTTGATTTAGCAGCGATATTGTGAGAGTAAATGAATTGCTTGTCACTTCTCGGGGTGAAAAAGAGAAAGCTACATTTGTGAAGAAAGTTCCAGACCTGTGTTTGTCGGCGATGTGATTCATGTGATCTAACAAGGTCACTACTTTATCGTTGTGTGTACAGGGATACCAGGGTTTCTCCATTTATTTTAGAGTCTAATTGGACACTGAATTTTGAGCATCATTTTAGTTATTCATGAGGTCAATGTTATTGTACGATGCCATCACTGGTTTATTAAGCTAAGTGCGTTCTTCTGCTAGTGAAGCATGTGTTTGTCAAGGAAAATAACGAAGGTTATGATGAAAATTACTCTCCGAGAGTGAAACAACATCGGTTACATGGTATTTAGGGATGCCCTCTGAGTAGTTATTTTGACGTTAACATATGTTTTCGTGTACCTTGCACCCATGCAGTGTTATGAAAAACAATCAACCTAAACGGTTATCCATGACTCAGAAATCATGATTTATGTCGTGTAAACTAATTGCATGTCATAAGTTCCAAGGCTCGATTTCCGCTGCTCTCTCGTATCCGTTCCTCGCTACTTCCCGAGAAGAGAGGGGGAGAAGCACGGGCTCATTTTCCCAAACAGTAGCTGGTAATCGAGCCTATCAAGTACCCTTCGATGTGAAGAGCATTAGGAAGGAGGTAAAGACAGGCCGTGGCTCAGGGGAGTTCTATAACGCATGCGCTCAACCTCTTGTAATAAAGATGTAATAATTCATCGGTAGCCCCCTTTTAACGGGGGGGGGGGGGGGGGGTGTGCCTCAGATGTCTTGAAACCATGACTTTGTTAAAGAGAACGTTCGTTAATCCCTTTACCCTGTTTAAGGCGACAAATCATGTAAACATTGTGGCAAGTTGCCCTCACTGAGTAGGTACCTTCTAGTAAATCGAATCAGGATTTTTAGGATAAGATCAAATACAGTTGCAAGTAATACACCTGGAAACCACGCATCACCGAGTTCGTCCCCGCCTGTTCAAGATTTTGTTCATCATGACACCCTGTCTAGGGCACTAAATAATAAAATTGTACATCCCAATCCCTATATCACCACAATCGTTCCTGGAATATAGCCAGCTCCTGGCTGTCTTTAGTAGGGACGAGCGAAAAAGCGGAGCGATGTTAATGAAAAACCCAGGGGGGGACGTGACAGTGAGGAGCGACAGAACCTCTATGATTTGTACTTGGGTTTTCACATGTTTACGCTAATAAGCATCTATCTAGCGTAGGCTTCTTCTGATGAAGGACTATTGATTTTAATTGATTGAACACTATGGCAGTGAAAGTTGCTTTTCTTATCGCTGATGATGTACAATGGAATGGTAGGGGCCATCCCCGGAGTTTATGACAGGTAAGTTATAGCTTGCGGAACAGGTGTCGTTTTGTTTTCGCTTTGTAAGTGAGAGGGGCAGGCGTGCAAAAAAAAGCGCGTGGGTAGAGCCACGCGTAGTAGAGGAGATACGAGGAGGAAGCGCTTTATGCGCTCCTTGTGTCGTGGGTGACCCTCGCGCTTCTCGCACTCCTCGTCTCGCGCGTGACTCACTGCTGGCCTTCATTTTATGCACTCTTTACGCATTTTGCGCTTGCCTTTGCACCCACTGAATAAAAGCTAAAAAATTAGGCCTGTCTCACAGGCAGGATAAGTATGCAATTTTAAGGCTAAAGATTAAGAGTATTTGTAAATTGGGTTAAAGAGAATTTGTGCTGCAACTGAGAACATTTCAAATAACATGAAAGTGTTCATGTAAACCGCTCGCATTGGATTTATACGGTCATATTCTTTTTCGTTCTTCAATATTAGGGGCTAAAAATTCATTGGTTAGGGAATTTAGTGGCCAAATGTTGTGGTTTGATTTTCCTTTTGCTTAACAATACCCATTAATAAATGTGTGTAAAATTGACGTACACAGGCACATGGTTAAGTCCATGAATACATAGATTTGTATGTCCTTATGAGAGGAAATTTGTTTTAAGCGATCAAGAGTATAGTGAACTTTTTGAAGTTGCTGTGAAGTATCTAAAATACTTAAAATTAAACATATTCTTGTTCGTTCTATTTTAGGGGCTATAAATTTATTTGACCACCGAAAACATTGTCCTGTGTGCAATAAGTTTTGCTTCACGCATGAGCACAGGAAAGGTCATACTAACCCGGTCGCTTTGAGGGCGCAATCTTGTTGACAGGACTCCTAAGCAGGGAATAGATTGCATATGAAGGGTAGTTCATTTTTCGAGGGCTTATTTATACTCCTTTCCAGTGTTGCTTTACAAGGCAATGATGATAAGGGAAGGTAAACGAAACGTTTATTTTACGTTCTTAATACCTCTGTAGTCTTTTATCGTCTCAAACCTTCGGTCCCAAGATCTCATTAGTAATTCTCACCACTGTCTTCTATTCAAATCTCATGATTTTACTTCAGAGCATGCGATATTGCCGGGAACAACTAATAATCCCTCGGTTGTTTTTGTTGTTGTTTTTGTATTGTTATTGCAGGATATATTCTGTCTTGGTTTTCTTGAGAGTTAAAAGGTTCGTTCAAATCCGAAGACTGTATTTGTTGAATGCGTTTTGAATAAAACAGGACTTGAACAGGAAATATCGTCTGTTGTTTTTTGTGTTGCGTTCATTTTCTCTTGCATTTTCCTATCTTTGTTTTGGTTAGGACTTATCGAACATCATTCGAGGTGAATGAAACTCGGGTTGTCAAGGTGGAAAGAAATTTTATGGGTAATTATTCATATTCAAATTAGGTGGGGGAAGGGTTAAATTTTTTATTCAGATATTCAATTTTTTTTTCAGGAAATATTTTTAATGCTTTATATTTAGATGTTACATGCGATCCTGTCGTTGCAAGGATTTCGGTTTTAGAGAACCCCTGGATCCACCACAGCACATAACTAGGTCGATCAGAAAATACTGGGGTTTTCGTTGTACACGCCGCACTTCGCATACTTCAATTTAAGCTTCGAGTAAGTGGTATTATTTACGTTCGCAAAATGACGTTCTTGACCTTCGCTCTCGTTTGTCCACTTTGTTTATTTTTCCTTTCTTTGCGTTAAGAGGTTGATAATCCCAGACATCCAGAATAGATCGATATGACACATTTATCAACTGTAAGATGTCTGAAAATACAATAAGTCCATTAATTATACAATTGCCGCGACCAGAAAATAGTTTTATAGAACTTTGGAACTGAAGTGTTTCAAACAAGGTTAGGAACTAAATAAAACCGGGACATGACTATTCTTGTTCCTCGACAAAGGATGGTTTTTATTTAAAAGAATTCTTTCACCGAGTGTTTCTTTAATTTTTTGGGCTCCTCCCTCGAACGTGACTCGCACTTCGCGCTAACCTTCGTTTGCCTTAAAAATGCAAACACTAACTTCTGTTCTTCAGGATACTTTGAGTTGTGAGATCGTTCATGTTGTTGAAGAATTCACGGACCAGTGTGTAATAAACAGAAGCGTTCAGGAGTCTTATAAATAAGCTAACATGTGTTATCAACTTTCAAACTTGGCTGGCATTAACGTCAGAAATATTCTAAAACACAATGTTTACGACTTCTTGGTTATAAAAAATGCAATTTTTAGCACAAGGCAAAGATTGATAACTTATTGTTGTCTGAAAATTGAGCCTAAGGATATCATTACTTTATTCAATTCCACTGATGTGTGTCGTGCGGACGTGTCTAAGTTCAAAGCTCTCATGATCCAGCGCTTTCAAACACTTGTTTATCATTGCTTTTCGCCGACAGCTCGTTAGAAAGCGATTAATGAAAGAGTGCGGTTCCCGGGGGACTTGTGAATGAGATGATCAATATATATTTGTCTGTTGTCATATTAAACAAAGGTCTTACTTGTTTGCCTCTTCGATCGTTGTTTAATCCAGCATCTACGACTTCGTGCGGGGTCTTTTATATTTCTAAACGAATTTGGATATTGGCTACGTACTCGAAACAGATGAAGGCCGTGTTTTAAGACAGCAAGAGTGGAAACAGTTTGTCAGCTGTGGAACATTGCTTTGTCAGCTTGGGATCAGAGAGGACATTTGATTTGCACCTCTTTGTTTACTTGCGTGGATAAGAGAGATGTCGTCTTCTTGTCTAAACCAAGCCGTGTGTTCTGGAAGACTTCACCAGATTCGTTTGCTTTTGGATATCGGTGTTAAACCAACCATAGTTGACAATGAGGGTCGTACGCCTCTTATGATGGCGGCATGCGGTCCTAAGGATTCCTTAGCGACTCGAATTGCTCGTCTTCTGTTATTCCGGGGAGCTCAGGTGGAAGCCGTTGACAACCAAGGAAGGACTGCTTTGTCATACGCCTGCCAACATGGACATTGTAAGCTAGTTAAACTTCTCGTAGACGACGACTGCGATATTAATTTGGCCGACAAGGTTGGCAATACCCCCCTGATGTACGCGGCTATGTCGGGCAGTGTACCCACATTGCGTGAAGTGTTAAATGTCGTGTTAAAATACAGACTTAGTGTGGATTTGAGAAACAAGAAGGGCTTTTCTGCTTATTTGTTAGCGGCCAAAATGGCCAACGGCGAATGCGCGCGGATCCTAAAAACCGAAGCGAATGCGTCGGTTGATGCGCGGGACACGGAATTTTTCTTAAACGGCAAAGAGTGGGCCAAGAAGGTTCGACGAAACTTGGAAAAAGAGAAACTTGAGAGGTCCGTGCAGATGAAAACTCAGCGACCTCGTCCGCAGACTTCGCTGGAACTCGGTCGCGTGGACAAAGTTGCGATTACACCGCGCAATTCGCGGACACTTTCGCGACTAACAACCTATAGTGAGCCCGCGGTGACTAGAAAAATTGGCGTAGTGGAAAAGTGGGTGGTAATTCATAAAGACCTTGAGCGTGATAGTGAAGGGGAGATTACACGTGTTAAAAGTGCCTCTTCAACGTCTTACAGCAGCAGACGGAGTACCATTCCTCCAGTAGCGCGCACACTCACGCCAGATCTACACGCCATATTTAATCAGTACGTGATAGTTGACAATAGGCCAGCGGTCACCGTAGCTGATCGCAGGCCACCCTACGGCCCGTCTTCACGAAAGATAAACGAATTACCTGCGAGACTTTTGATGAGAGAGGCTAGAAATTCTCGAGTAGGCGCCATGACCCGCAAAAAATTTTCCATAGCCAGATAAAATGTACAGGTTTTCGTCGTTCGATGTGATTTGTAAGTATGAAAAAAATAAAGCTATGTGTGTGGGGGGACACGGCCATAATAAAAGGCGTTACACGAAATTGAAAATACTTGTGATATAGACGTGCTGCTTGGTGGAAATGGATGGCGAGTTCAGCAGTCGTATAGAACGAAAAATATGCGCATGGCGTGTTATAAACAGTTGACCTCTTTTGAGTAATGGGCGCAAGTTGACTCTTCGCGTTCCTCCTCTCGCATGTAAATCACCTTCCGCACCCGCCCCGCTGGATTGAAAAACGCAGGCACAGAAATCAAACCTATCCGGGCCTTCGAATGACTAACTGGAGACGCTTGCATTTCTTGCTTTGATATGTGATTCATGTTTTCAGAGACCTGACATTAGGCATATAAATATAAGAGTAATTTTCGATGGTTTGCTGGCTATCATCGTGTAATAAAAAGAGTGTATATGTTTAGTAAAGAGGTTTTTCATCGCAAATTAAGCATACAACGATCGAGTTTTCTTACGGCCGACGTTACATACGCAGTGGAGCTTTCCACATGTGTTGCGTGACAAGTTCAAACGACGTAAGTGTTTTGGATGAAGGTGTTGCGTGACTATCTAACAAAATGTCGTGGGGGTCTGCGTGACAATTGCATGACCTAAATAGGACCAGGAGCCCAATACAATGGTCTCCTGACTCCAAACCTCACATCACAGAGGCAATCTTTAAAGAATGAGGTCAAGAAAACAGACAGAGACTCTTGATGAAGTTCATCCAATTTTATTTTTCATTTTAAAAGCCATAGATTATTACATTAAAAAACTCAGATTTCACAAGGGTAAATGAACATAACGTAAAGAAGCTCGAACATCTTTCGAGCAATGATCCAAGGGTCATCTTCTACGCTCTCCAAAATGCTCCTTCCTACAGCGCGCCCCTCGGGGGAGCACATGGCCCTTTGCCAGACCTTCAGTAATAGCCCGTTAGTGTCAACATTTGTACTGTGAAAGAGGTTGATAACCAAAAGGACACGATTTTGCGCTGCAGTAAAATCAGGGATGAAAGGGACTTTGTCGCTGGCCTCCAGGATTCGCGGTGGCAGTGCAGTCTGTTGGTCAGCAGTTTCGTTGAAATTTGTTTGGAAGTAAGTCGCTGCAATGAATTCTACAAGTAGGGCCCAGCCAACTCCAAATTTTCTTTCAGGTAAGGACAGAAGGTTGGCCTCTTCAGTGAAGAGTGGTTGTGCTAAAAGAGGAGAACATACACTAAAGAAAGGTATTATTATACCATAACAGCTAATTATAACAAAGCAAATATCAGAAAGAGCCAATGGGACCTCAAAGTGAAAACGAGGCTTGACGCACATTCAGGAAAACGTGAGTGAATAAATTACGATTGCTTTTAACTTTGTGATTCGCTGAGAGAGTGATACGAGTTTTCTAGACCAATCACAGAGCGAAGTAAAACTAAACCAATTCAATTCAAATGCCCAAGTGAAAATTGCTCTGTTGGGAAAAAAATTAGGCTAATTTTCTCTCCGAATCAACAAATTGAATAACTAAATCAATAAAAAGACGAAAAGCAGTCTAGATTTTAAAATGAATGAATATAACAAAAAAGCCAAGATTTTTAGCCTAATTTAAAGAATTTTACCCGTCAATATCGATGTAGTGTGCGCCTTCCACATAAGGGCGATCGTTACGTCATGGTTATCATCTTCAGAACCACCTTTAACTCGCGTAAAGAACTCAGCCCAATGTTTAATAACTTCAGAGTGTTTTTCCGTGCACTCTTCAATACTTGTACAGAACTTATCTTTGACCACGTCGCTTACATCAGCTGGCTTGGAAATATACACAGGATATTTCAAAGGAGGAAACAGTCCAGCTTTCAAGGCGCCTAAGAACGGTAGGACAGAGAGGTAATAATTCATATCAGCCCACCAGCTGTTTGGAGAGACACAGGGGGAGCCAGTGCAACGACTTTGGCCAACTGCCATATCATTTAGACGTCCAGTGGACATTTGCCATCCGAATTGGAGCGGAAGTCCCCAAAGAAGGTTTCCTGTGTTGTTATACCCCCAGGAATTGAAGTACCCTTGGGTATACTGCTCCATCAATTTGAAAATTCCCATTCTCTGTAGATACAACCATGGGTTGATGATAGTCATGGTTTCGCCGGCTATTTGCCCAACTGGATAATCTTCGAAGGAGCTGGGCGCTTCAAACCAACCGGGCAGATAATGTCGAACGAGCACATCAGTTTGGGATGACACAGGATTGGATAAGCGGCTTATTATCGCGCAGATAAGCACGGCTATGCAGGTCATGTGACTCATGTTTCTCTACCAAAATCACCAAATCTTAAGTAGATGATACAAATCTGCGAAGGAAAATTAAAGACATTTTATTTACAAGAAAGAGCAAAATTTTCACCTAAATTAATAAACAGCGGTCTCTAAGTGTCCATTGGTCTTTAAGAATATGATAACCGGAAACCATATGTGCACGTTCATCGCAAATTTTCGTGGGAAAATTTATTTTTAATTTCGTGTAATTTTCTGATGAAAGCAACCAAGCATTCTACGTAAATTCAACGACGATAAACGCGTCTTTTAAAACTATAAAATCAACAATATCCGTTACAATTAACAACATGCAAACCGTCCTGCCAATTTTTCGTTTTCTGGAAAAAAAAAAAAGCCATCCTGCTGATGGGAACATAAAAATGCAAGTTACACATCCATCGCAAACTTGATTCGTGCAGCTTTAGAAGAGTCAATATAACTTTTCTTTTGGTCAGGTTTGTAGCCAGATATCACAATTTTACTTACGTACGGTCCTTTATATAATTACAGGACCTTCTGTTTCCGGCGACTAAGCTATAACCATGAATGTTATAAAACGTTGTTCTTTTCATGATCGCTTATAAGAAAAAATAAATTAGAGTTATGTTGTAATTTACATTTTTTTTTGGCGCATCACACATATAATTATTTTTACTGTTATGTCCATAACTGGTTTCATTAATTGTGTTCCAAACTTGAGTTTTGTCTAGGGAGAAGCTCTTAGCCATATTCTAAATTGAAAGGTTCATTTTCCTTTCACCTATAAGAGGATTTCCCCAAAAAAAACTGAAACAAAAATGTTTCATGGTAGACCCTCTCCTTCTACGTTTCATACGTTCCTATCCATTCTTGTCTCCCCTCCCCCCTTCCAGTTGTAGGTGGCATCAATTTCTTTATTTAAAGCTATGTACGTGTGGAAGGTGACTCAACTGACTATACGAAGATACACTTTCCTCTTTCGAGCGTGACCATAGGCAGTCCAAGCTTCAGCTGTTAGATCATGATCTTGCAAAACAAGAGTCATAGTGAATTTTTAAGAGTTTGCATGGCATATTTACGACCGCTCTTAGGAATAAAAAATTACATTCAAACTCTCAATGAAAATACTGCACCTTTTTTACACAGTGCATCGCTTGTTATCGACCGCTTACTATGTTAGAAAAGAACCCATATTAGCGAGTTATCCATCTCTAAGTTTACTACATACATATGAGACTGGCCTCTCTTATGTACGTGGTAAACCTAGAAATGGATAACTCACCAAAATGGGTTCTTTTCGTCATAGTAAGCGGTCAGATAACAAGCGATGCACTGTGGAAGTGAAGTGAGGTATTTTAATTGAGAATTTGAATGAATTTTTTATTCCTAAGAGCGGTCGTAAATGTTCCCATACAAACTCTTGTAATTTTCTCAAGATGACCATCTCACAGCTGGAGCTTGGCCGTCTGTAGCGTGACATGCAGGTGATCAGATCCGCAATTAAAACATGACGAAACATTGTAAAACTTAACTTGCAACCGGTTAGTACTTATTACGCTAAATAATTGTTCAAATAAATATGATTTTCCTGCATTTTCTCGAATAAATCTCTTTAACTAGATTATATTTAGATGCTGTTATGGGATTGATAATCCTTTTCGCTGCTATCACAGGTCAAGCAATTGATGACTTTATCAAGCTTGGCTCGGCTAACATCCGTATGATATCATTATGAAACTCTGCGGAAATGTTCAAAGTTCCGATTGTCTGTATTGTAAATTGAAAGGGGTCAGACAAATTCGTAATTTCAGTATGAGGAAATGGTGGATTTTGATTTTAAGTATTAATCTTAAATTTCAAATTTTAATTTTGACGAACGGATTTTAGCCGCATTCGCGAAGGCCAGTCACGCTAGTCCCCTGATCCCTAGAGAAAATTTAGACTAAACCTCATTACGGTCAAAACTACAGCACTAGAATGTTAACAGATAATTTTGCTTTAAGATCAACTCGCCTTTCTCTTGAGAATAAACTTTAAACACTTCCCAAAGCCGGTTTGGCAAACAGGGTGGCACTCGTCAGTAGTACACCAGTTAGTACACCAAGAAAATGTGATCCCTTGGGCACACCCGCGTAGGGGCTGGTTACCATAGTTTGAGGTAGATGTCATAACCTCGTTTTCAAGTTTGAGAATAAGCTCCTTACAGAACCACTCTCTTCAGACCACCACAGATGAACAAACACACAAATAAACAAACAAAGAAACAAACATTACCGACCTTGGTGTTTTTGTTTTTTTAGTTTTAAACTTTTGCTCGACTTTTAGCGTGTTGAACGCTCATTTTCGTGTGGCGAACTGAAAGTGAAACGCCTTAGCTTACTTCTAACTTTGCGACATTATTTTTATTATCGTAGTGGCAACGGAAATGCAGTTATGTGCGATCTGGAGCTTGTAGACTATTGAAGCGAGATTAACGCCGGGCTTACAATGGGAACTTCCTGTTAGTTCCGGTCTTTTTGGGATTTTCATCTCCATTTCGAGCTCTTGACACGACTGCAATGAGTGGCTAGTAGTTGGCACGCTTTGACCCTAAAGTGAGTGACAAAGAGAGAATTTCTCCTTACAATATCAATACAAAATCAAGCAGACAAGGAATGAGAAAAAGAAAAATATCAACTAGGGGATTATTAGTTGATTCAATACCAAATCCTCCCAACTGACACTATACGAATTATATGGCAGATAGTAAGGAGAACTACTAATGAGATCTTGGGTTTGAATGAGTTAACATAATAAACAGAAATCTTGTATTTCATTTCTGATAAGTAATTTGAATGTCCGCCCTTTTCCCCAGACAAGGTTGCAAGTATTTTGATTGTGAGCATTTTTTTAACACCAGGAAACTTTGAAACGCAGAAGAGGGAGAGATACAAATGAGGGTTATTAAAAAAAAAAAAAAAAAAAAGTAGCAGAAGACTCCGCCTCTCATTGTAGTCTCGTCCCTTGAGAGACTGTTTTCTCTCCCGCTATCTCGCTCCCGTCCGGTCTTATGTCTTTGAGTGTCATCAAGCTGAATTTTAATAACCTCAAATCAGATTATTCTCTAAGTTAAGGCTGGGGTCGGCGAGCTGTCTTTGATCTTGTCGTTTATTTAACCAATAAGTCGTCATAAAACAACCCAGGCTGTTAGCTATGACTAGCACTCATTGCAAGATATCATCTAACACGAGAGTTTGAGCGACGCGCGGGCAGAATAAGCAGACATTCGCCCGTATCGAGCCTGAAAAGTTTATTCAAAACGCTGACAGTGGTTGTGTCAAGACAGTTTTGTTGTTTGCTGTACTGCTGTATATTTGAATGAGGTAAGTGAACTACTTCGTATTTCTCGAACAATGCTCGTTTCTCTGGGGTTGTTTCAAAATTCGTGTTCACTTAAACATTGGCTTTTGTTTCAGAGCACGCAATAATCGATGTAAGCGTGTACCATCCTAAAAATTTACTGTTTTCGTTTCAAAATCCAAATTTACAAGTGCCCATTGTCTCTTCATTTCAAGCTGTACAATTTACCGTGTAACGAATACAAAATCACTTCGAAATAAAATGTTACTGCAGTTTACAGTTTTTCCGGCTCAGCCAAGATTAAAAATTCGCTAGTTTGTGGACCAAGTTTGGAAAAACAGTTTCTCTTTAGTTGGTAAAATATGAAATATAATTTGAATTCTAGACTTGGGTGCACTGAAACATAGTTTGCTTTTATTGCTTGAATCGTCTGTTCTGTGAATAATTAACTTGAGCGCGCACGCGAGTTATGAAAAAAGCGGTCCCAAGACCAAATTTCGGTTGGATTATCTTAAGCCAAAAAGTTTCAAACTCTTCTGATTTTCGACAAGTTTTTCTCATCACTGTAAGATTAAAACGACACTGTATGAATTAAAATCACACTCTGATGTTGTGTCAACGACAGATGGTAAAATTTAAAACAAAGGCAAAAATATTAAGTTTAAGGTTTTTGAAAAAAAATAACTGTAGCGATTATAATCGATCTATGAACAATTTAAGTGTAGATTATCAAACTCAGATGCGTACCATACTTTTCAAAGGGTCGAAACGTTTTCGATTCAAATTTTAATTTTTGCGTAAGTAAAAGTTTCAGTTTTCTCTGGAGAAGTATATAATTTAAACTGTGCGTGTTTTTAAAATCGACCTTTCCAAAAATCACCTTTTCTTCGACACTTTTATAGCTCTATGTCTGATAAATTGTCGATCTGTCTTTCAAAAACGACAGGCTAATAATGAATGTAAAATACGTGTTTCTGTTAAAAAACAATCGGAAAACATAAATTACTAATAATGCGTTGACATCTATAGGTCAATCAGTATTTCACATCGGACACTGGGCTAAAAAATCGACGGTGTTTGTTTGGGGAAAAATCATAAAATTATTTTTAAAAAAAATTCCTCTTTATTTGTGAATTGTTTGCTTATTTTGTTGTTCATTACTGAATCATGTTGATGTATTTTCGTAACTGAGCCTTGCTGGCCCCTGATTGGCCATTATAAAACAAACAATTTTTTTAAAAAGCTGTAGTCGATCGATTTGATCTCCACCATGCAGATTGGTTATGATACAAGTAGCAAAATTCCAAGTTAATTTACATCAAAGCCTTGTGACCAAGCCTTTTTTCCCTGTTGCTTAGGTTGAGCTGTTCATTTGCAAAGACCTGATAAAGAGCGTTTTGATCTTTCAAAAATACTCTTGTGTTGACAGGTGTGTTTACAAAAGTTCTGCCTCTTTCCTTTAAATGATTGTCGGGATTCATTTGACGGTTGAAATAAGAACACGCTTTCAATTGAAGCCAGAACATTTTCTAAGGCAAAATGAACTCGCTGAGTACTAAAGGAGGAAAGTTACATCCTATTTAAATCCTATCCTTTTTTTAAAACAAATTTTAGTAAATAAAAAAAAGCCGTGTTTGGAAAGTTCAATTGTCCTCACCCACAAGACAAATGTTATGTCACGGACCTTTGAGAGAGTGTTTACAAACGATCAAGGATTCCGGAGCAATATTGCGGTTGTAAAAGAATTCATAAAACAAGATTGATTTTCTAAATTTCGGTGCAATAGTTTGAGACAATGTTTATGTGAAAATGTATTTTCCCGGAGTTGCTTGTTGCCATATAGAAATGACAAAGATGCATGGTTCAGCTAAGGGTGATAAATTATAAACTCCGCTTTTGAATGAAGAAAGGCTACTATACAATCACATTAGAATCCGAGTAGCAAGAAAATTTTTTAGAATCCTTGGTGATATCAGGCACACTGCGGACTATTCAATTTCGCGGTTCCGATGCGCAACCGAGTGAGATTCAGAAAACCTGTTGGAAGACATCTGCCCCAAATGAAACAGTTGTAAACACAGTCATTTGCATACAAGATTTCAAAACAGTAACAATCTGTTCACCTGCTCATTATCTGAGGTATCATTAAGAGCGAAAAAACACGCGAAGGATATGTAAACTTAATAGGAAACGCATATTGTCGAGAGGATACATTGAAAACTCGGCCAACCTGTTCTGTAAGGTAGTTTTGACTCTTTTAGTCGCGGGGATTCATTAAGGTAGGTTAAAAAATTAAATTTTTTTTGTAATGACGCCGAGCTTTGTAAAGACAATTTATTAGGTATTCAGAAATATATGTGCTCTGCGTACTCAGGAATAGATCGTGAAAATAATAGCAGATTTGATCTGTAAGACAACCTTGAGGTGTTTTTAACTCACCAACCGGTGAGTTTTTATATATATTTTCTCAAAATACTACGCCGTGACCCAGTCAAAGAAGCTGGCATAATATTTCAAAATTTACCAAATGTGCGAAGTTGTGCAACATATACAGACATCTTTGCGACGTTAATGTCCTTGCGAAACATCCTAGCAAACTTCCAGCCTTTTACCCGCTTGCAATGGTCTTGTTCATCATAAAACTCACGAATTTAATTTCAGTTTAGTTAGAGCTGATCCCAAGCTGACGGTTGTAGAAGTTGAGTTGATCTTCTTTGTGGCGTCGAATGCGACAACAACTATATGTAGCAATTTGTATTTACTTTGTATCTGCATAGGGTTCGCATTCGACATCACTTAGGTATTTAATGTTTTTTTTTTCGCCTCAGCTCTGAAGGCAACGATCAACAGAGCTATCTTGGTTTTTCTCTCCCGCCAAGCTAACGGTAGAAAATCAGACATTGACAACAAATTGACAAAGGGAGATGGGGACGAGAGGCCAGCAAAAGTTTGGGGGGTGGGGGTCGTATGAGGTTGCTTTGTCTCGTCGTCCCTTTTGGTGACGAGTAAGAAAGATCATCAGCCCCACGGGAACCCTCCTCACTACCTAGGGGGTTTTCGTCATTCATTATATCGTTTTATTTTCAGATATTCCACTATGTCCAGATGTTCAAAAGCTACTCGTCAGTTTTTGAGAACAACATCGTTTTGGGTGCTCTGCTTTCTTCTGCTAGCATCCCTTGGAGCCCTTTTGTTCTCCGAGGTGGAGCGTCCCAGCGCTATGAGCAGATTGAAATCCAAAGACGAAAAACTCGCAAGTCTTCAAAACGAAATGAAAACCGAATACAACATGACCCATGAAGAATTTGCAAGGTTCGTTAATTTATCCAGTGAGGCTCTAAGTCTGGATGGGCCTGCGTGGAATTATCTTGACGGGCTGCGGTACACCTTCGAGACGCTAACGACAATAGGTAAGCACAACTTATGTGTCCACGTTTGGTTCTTTTGTGTTTTAACTTACGTACGAACGAACGAAGAACGGAAAAACGGTCAGAACCTTTTCACTAATTTTTTTTGTGAAACCTTTTAGGTTATGGAGCCATTTCTCCTTCCACCAGACTGGGCCAGGCATTGTGTATAGTCTTTGCAATTCTGGGAATTCCTGTTACAATCCTGGCATTCAAATCTGTTGGTGAGCTTATCAGCCTCGGGATCAGTTCTACCATCGCATTTGTTGAAACGAAATGCTGCAGAAAAGAACCGACTCATGTTGAAGCAAAGTGTACAGTCGCCACATGCTTGCTAATGATGATAATGCTACTTTTAGGAGCCATAATGCAATCGAATTTTGATGATTGGTCATATCTGGAAGCGTGTTACTTTTGGGTCATTACCTTTACAACCATCGGATACGGCGATTACATCGCAGGATCCGAAACCCGCAAAAAGGGCACCGGAAATCCAAAAACCAAAGTTGTTAAGTCTTTAAACGTAGCGTTTCACATTGCCTGGACCACGATCGGCCTATGCGTGTTTTCTAGCGTGCTTAACGCCGCAGCCACGTTTATCGAGAAACGAGCGCTCGCTAAACGGAGATGCGGGAAGCGCAGGTGCTGCTGTTGTGCTGGCCAACAAGAATCGGATTCTGATAAAGGTGACACACTGGAAAAATACACCTACCAACCTAGTGCCAATGGTCGTGCGCGTGACAAGATTCAAAGTCGAGAAGACTACAACTGCATGACTTATGTATAACACGTTAATTAGACTACTTCCCTACGCCAAGGGTCTCCGTTCCATTTGACCAGTGTTTCGTCAAGCCTGCGCATTAAATAAAAAGCTAGAAAATTAGAAGAGACGGGAATGATTGGCGCGTGAAGGCAATTTTCTGAGCTGCGCACGTCTTCAGAAGAAAATATGGCCTGATGATTTAAAGCGTTTCTGTTCCCTTGTCTAAGGCAAAAAAGTGTATTAGGAAAAGGCTTGAGTTTTCTTGAATTAAGTTTCGTGGTCGAGGTGAGGTGAACTTCAGAAGGGAAGGTCTGCGCAGGGCTATAAGTGGAGCCAAAGTTTATTTCTGCAGCAACTTCCCTGTGGGACAGTCTTCTTCTGTGGATTGCCATTGCTTAGCATTTTAGAACAAATTTAAGGTACCGGGTGCCCAGATAGCGACTACTTCAGCCACCAGAATTTATCCCGACGTCTATTGTACGCATGAGTCTACTCCACCAGGGCGGAAAGCTGATCCATTGTAGCTTAACTCTCCTTTATTTCACTGTGTCCTCCTGACAATTTATCAGTACTTATCTATACTTGTTTGTGGGGAGTCACTTTTTCGCATTTGATCACATGCACATGTAAAATGCCTGTTACAAACAATACTTATTATATTAAAAATTTTAACACTAAATATTATAAATATTAAAATAAACATTATGAATATTTAAGTGTCTTTCTCTGAAACTAGACAAGACGAAGGCGGCCAGTGATCGATCCCGGGCTTTTTGAGCGAGAGTCCAGTCCAGCGCGCCTACTGCAAGGCAACTGCGCCTTCCATTACGCACGCTCTTTGATTACTACAAAATGTTACCTCTCACTGTTATTAACAAAAACAAAGAAGAAAATAAAAAAGCGCGTCTGAAATAGGGACTCTACGTAAAGGAACACCGCTCAGAAAAAGCCATACCACAAAACAAATGGTTTTTATCTGTTGATCATTTTACGCGGAAAGTTTCTTTGAGCTTGAGTTCAAACGCATCGATTGTTGCCGAAAGAAAGGCAGTAATTTGGAAGTGTTTCATTCTCCGGAACTTTTAAAATTCTAAGGCAAAGATTGAGACACATGTCTGCTCTTAGGAGGTTTATTCATTCTTCTCTCTCACACAGAACAACAAGCTGAGTGCAAGGTATTCAGTTTAAACGCGAGTGAAGAGACGGTATGTTCACATACTGAAACAGTTCTCGTTCTGTGAAATAAGAAACAAACAGTGATCTAACATTTATACAAACGCATTTTAAAACAATATAGTACATCGAACATCAGAGATAATTATTTTAATTGAGCGACGTCAATAATAATCCTAAATTGTGTTGGCTTTGCTTTCTTCGCTCCGTGATTGGTCGAGGCATTTTCTCAATAACCTCTCAACCAATCATATGCAGCGACTTAGCAACATGCGTTTTCCCGCGCTTCTGGCAATGAGTTCCCATTGGCTCCTTGAAACATTTTCTTCGGCTCTGATTGGCCGCTTTGATACCTCTCTTTGAGATTTACCGACACTCAATCAAAATACGCTATGGTCGACTATCTGTTGTCCTATCACTCGTTAAAAAGCAATTTCTCTCAAAGATTCCATGCAATAAATAAATATACAAGTCCACTAGCAAAAAACACCTATTACATCGTAGACCTTCCACACTTCTTGAACTGTGCAATAAATCTTTTAAATACTGTTCCCTTCGTTAAAATTTGAATGGGACAACACCGTCATAACATGACATATTCCTTCGCCGTCGTCTGCTTGGTAGGGCTCGCATAGCTCCCTACCCCACCGGGGGTATCCAGGTATTTTTACTTCTCTTAATAACCTGGTAGTTTTCTAATATTCCTGCTCGCCATTTCTTCCTCTTCGAGTTGCTTTCTAAACTTGTTGACTTTTTCTGAAGGAGAATAGAACAAGTTTTTTCGTGACAAGAAAAAAACATGTTTCTTTATTTCTTTACCGAGCTCAACACTTACCATCTCTCTTATTTTATTAACAAACATGAGGCTTTCGACATCGCTGATCCCAGCAGTAAGCAGGGCGCGTGTCATATATGAACCTCGTAATAGGCCTTACTCGCCATAGAGTCTCTGCAGTTCCGTGGTAGAGCATCGGAGCGCGGAATCGGAAGTTCTTAGGTTCGATACCTCATGGCGACTCAGAATTTTTTTCTCCGTCTCACGCTCGTTACGAGACAAAAAACATCTTTCTCTGAGAACTGTTCATGACTATAAAACACCAGAAATATCTCCTTTAAAAAGCTGAAATTTAGCGGAATTCCCATGCGGGCACGTTAAAAGGAAAAATAAATGTCCTTGGAGCAGTACAGGATAGATAAGGTTTTTTACCTCGTAACTGCGTGAATTTTTCGATCTTCTGGGACAGCAGCTCATCCAATCGGCGCACGTAGTCTGAGAAATCAAAGAAGTTTCAAATCTCTTAGGATCGTTGAGTGATTTTAGTTTCAATTAACATCAGGGTTAAAAGTTGATGAAAATTCATAACAACTAAAACTACCACAATTCACAGAGTAAATATTAATAATATTAATAAATAGACAGATTAATAAGTAGAAAGCTGGATAGATAGAAAGGTAGATAGAGAGAGAGACAGATGGATAGGTAGATAGATAGATAGATAAGTAGATAGATTGATTGGTAGATAAATAGAAAGATCGATACCAAGATGATAAACAGACAGACAGGTAGATAGATGGACAGTTTGGGTGTTGACTTACCTTCCATGTTGTAGTCGACATCCATATCTACTCTTTCGATCAACTTGTCTTCTTCTTGTAAAAGCATTTTGGTTTCCTAGTTATGGACAGAACTACATTCAACAAACTTTCCGGTCATAAGTTTTTCTAACCTACAAACGCTCTTAGCTTTAGCGAAGAGTAACATTACTTGGCACTAAGGGCGTAAGAGGCTTGGAAGGAGATTCTCCGTTGCCCTCCCCTTCAGGAAATAACATTTTTTCAACACAATAATATACAACTTTTATTCAAGAGGCGAAAAGGCACGAATCTGAAGAATCGTCGGCGCCGCATCAACAAGAGCCCACTGGTAACGAGGTGGAGCAGCGGTATGCGCCATTTCATGCGAGGTGCAAGGAAATTCCTAACGATGAACCCCCTACCCCTCCTTGAAAAATATTGACTACCCTCTGGGTACTTCTTTCGTTCCCTCTTACCTCGATATTTTTCCTGTGGTCGTCTACTAATTTATCCTCTGCATCTTGCAGCTGTGATACTGCCTCATGGAACGTGTAAAGCTCTTGCGACTGCTCACCAGAGCCCTGGAAAATAGAAAACCCTTCAAACCTTTAACTTGCAGTTTCTTGTGAGCTTTGAATTAAGCAAACTTTGAACTAAAAATCACACATTCAAGCGAAAAGCACTTAAATCATCTCCAAGAGGATTTTACAAAGAGCACTTACGCTGTGGTTGCAAAGAAGAGCAAGATCCACATTGTTAAGGTGTCTCCCATCAGAGAGGGCCGACACGTCTTCAGCGCTGGTGTCATCATGTCCACCATCGGCAGGTGCTGCTTTCTTCTTCGCATTACTCTCTGGACCGAGCTCTTTGACTCTGAAGAGTTGAAAACCATAAAATTAATATGTAAACGCAGCTGTCATATAGCGATGTTCTTTTTTATTCAAAAGAAGAAATAAGACTATGAGCGGAGAATAATCGTCATAGCTGACCTGTCTGCGTAACGCAAAGTATTCAGTGTATGTTCACAGCAGCTCATGCCAGGAGAAATCATTGCGATCTATAAATAAGAATAAATAAGATTGTTAAAGGTTCAAAGGTTTAGCTTCTGTGGAGGGGTCCCATGTTGTATGGGTCAATAAATAATAATTATTATAACAATAATAATAATAATAATAGGAACAACTATTTTTTTAAAAAAATTTCAATGATAATTTTTTCAATAGGTAGTTCTTGCAATAAAAACTGTCTTGTCAATAACTGATAACTATTTTCATTTCTGAAATTCTACATAAAAGATAATTTTATATAAAATATTACACTAACAATATTGATAATAAAAATGGTGATGATAATAATAATATAAACAATTACAATAATAATACTAATATCAATAACAATTTTGAGATTTTTTAAAACTTTAATGATAATTTATCTTAATAGGTAGTTCTTGAAAATTTAATATATACTATAAAAAACTGTTTTGTTAATAACTAATAATAACAATTTTCATCGCTACAATTCTACAAAACAATAAAGAATAATTCATACCATACAAGTCTTTGATTTTTCACCAATGAAGGAATCTCTCAGAACCTGTTGGAACAGGAAAACAACAATTTTTATCAACCTTGCACCAATGGCTATACAGATACGAGAAAGGATATGTCGTTTAACTGATGTCGATTGACTGATTTTCTGTCTATCTGTGGCTTTTTCAAAATTTTTGTTTCATTCTGTCCTTTTACCTGTGTAAGTTTGCTGGCTCTGAAAGGAAGATGTGCTCCTTTGCGTCCAAGAGCTCGAATACATTCCTTTAAATTCGACAAAGATGAACAGGAGGTTATCGTAAATCGTCAATTTGTAAAGAAAATTTTTTCAAAGTAGGCAAACTTAACCATGATTAGACACCAACCTTCAGAGCCAGTAAACTCTTGTTAATTTCCGCGCCTTCGAGACGCGTTTGCCGATCAGCGTTTGATGTGTCCGCTCCTCGTTCATTTCCTGAAAAATAGAAATAGAAAACTTGAAAGTTAAGTCTTCCAAAAACACCAAAATAACAACAACAACAACAACCACAACAAAAACAACAAATGCAAAAACCAACAACAACGAAAGAGCTAATATGCAAAGTAATCTGAATAAAAAGAGTTTCGAACCAAAAAGGCAAACCGCAAAAAAAAATGTGTCCAGTTGAGATAACAACTTTAACTACCTGCTAAGTCAATCAGTGAGAATTTTCCATAGAGTTGGCCTCCACCACCATCTTTCCTGTACCCTCTACAGGTTAAACAATATATCGGTAAGACATGAACCTAACAATGACCTGGCTCATTATAGGCAGTCTCTCCGCGGCTCAGTGTTAGAGCATCGGAATACGGAATCCGAAATTCCGGGCTTCGATTATTCAAGGGCCGTTTCTCAAAGGTAACTTCACGGGCCTGAAGCTTTTTTAAAGAATTTAAATCTACTAACGGATTTAAGCTCACAAGATCAGTTCAAAAAATATCTCGACCTTGAATATAAACAAGATAAAAGAGAGGTTTTCCTAGAGACGGGCTCCAGATGACCAAATGACCCAAGATGGCGGTGAACAAACAAGCAATAAAGAGAAGAGAGTATTTATGGAATGGTAACTAACCTCTTTCTTAAAATAATCTGAAAGACAGCGTGAGAACGGGACGAGTTTTGATTGGCTGACGTTTGCCCAGATGTTCTGTATAAAATAAACAGAGAAATAAATAAATATATATATATATATAGCTAAACCACTTAATTATCCAAGTACATAGTAAAATTTTAAGCTATTTAAAAAGTATGTCAATAGCTAGGTAAGTTTTTTAATGAAAACATGGAACCATCCGAAATCAGACGGATCCGTGCGAAATCGGAACGACCTTTTCGGAATCTCGAGCGGCGGCCGTCCGAAATCAAACGAAATCGTCGGAGGTCGAACGAAACCTTCCGAAATGACACAAAACTGACCAAAATCGGATGGGTCTATCCGAAATCAAACAGTATCGTCTGGAATCAGACGAGAGGGTCCAAAATAACACGGAATCAGACGAATCATAGACAAGGACTCTTTCCCAACCTGAGTTTGTTACCAAGCTCTATAAGCTTCAGTGTATCTTGTACTGAATTTACGATTTTTTCCTCCAGCTCACAGACCTGATTTAGAAAAAAAACGTTGTGAAAAATTGACTTCAAGATTAATCAAGGCCTGTAAACGACATGCAAAACAGACTTCCATGCAAAAGTGTGCTTTGTACCGAATAGCTACCTAAACTCAAATAATTACAATTTATAATACTGTTTATTAAAAACTGGATCATTGGACGATGCAATTCAAGAGTTTTCACTGGCTTAGCCATCATGGGTTATGAGCCATTATACCATGCGCGCGCATGAAGACGAGTTAAACGAATAGTAAAATGTAACACTCCGTTTGTTCTTACAAAAGTAAAGTTGGGAAGATTTATCTTTAGTTTGGGGCGTTTTTAATGAAACAATGATTTAAACTCGCGCTTGTTGGATATGAGATGATTATAGCTATCAATTATTTCATATCCAACGCGCACTTGTGGAATAATTGTTAAATAAACAATGGCAGATCATAACTGTTGTTGAGATTTTGTTCAGGGGGAGTGGGTGAGAGGAGGACTTACTACGGAGGAGGGAGGGGGAGGGGAATTTACATTTTTTACCCCACACTGTACCTGAACTTGCTGATTGCCGTCCTCCAAAACTCTCAATCTTTTCCGCTTGTTGAGTAAATCGAAAACCTTGAAGCGCATAAAGAGAGACCATAAATAAATCAACTTAATGACCCACTCTCCCACAACAACAATACAAGTTGTAATTAATTTTACCTTGCTACCGTAGATCTCAAAATAACTTGCTGAAATAACAAGATCCTTGTTTTTGTGTTTGGGAGCTTTGCTCAATTTGAACACATCAGTAGCTGCAAGGAAACAGAATGAAAAGCGTAACTCAACAAGGTGAGACGTGGGGAAAATAACACTTTCGTATACTATCACTGAGCAGATTTCAATTAAATGTTGAGAGTATTCCGGGTTTTTATTACTTTTGCTTCAATGTGCTCTGATTGTTCTAGAAAATTCGCACCACCTTTCCCAACCAATCAGGTGTAAAGATAAAACCAACCACAGCCTTGTCTCCCACGTTTTCCCGCGCTTCAGGCATTGTTTTCCCTCCAAAAATGCCTTTTCATTGGCTGCTTGCAATTTTTTTTTAATGTTCCTATTGGCTATTGTGCCTACGTTGTTTTGGTCTTACGACACCGGATCGAAAAACGCTCTTTCTGAACCTCGGGAGTACAAAGCAAAAATTTGCACTCTCCCACCTTTAAGCTGAGCGAAGGTTATTTCGACTCTATTAAAAGAAAAAAAAAATTAGAAAGAAAAGCACGACAAACCTGCCAAAGCATAAATTCCTTTGGTACAATCCTGTTGTTTCCCAGTAAAAGTACCACCCATGGTCTGAAAAAAAAAAAAAAAGTTAAAAAAATTAAGAATCGTGTCTACTTCTTTCTTATAAGAAACGTGTAGTGATAAAAATCTCCCTCGTTTGTCGCTCTACCTCATCTATCGCGCTTTTTTACCATTTTTCTCTGTTTTACTAACTGTACGTCTGAAACTGCCTGGTACAAAGTGCGCCACTTAAAAATCCCAAATACTTTAATATTACACCAAGTGCATTTGACGAATACCCCATAACCTTCATTAATTTGCCACAATCTCAAGTGGTAGAAATGTTAATTTGTTTAGCGGGTTTCGCAGCGTTTAACACGAGAGACAAGTCTGAAGTCAAATGGTCTTGATCTTATGTCAGTAACAAGACGTTTATACACAGATTTTGGATGTAAAATACTATGAATCATAACTTTGTCCCTCCAGGGAGCTTCGTTGATATTTTCAGCAGCTCATATTATTTGGATGTTCAATCGACATTCAGAGAAAGAATGTGATACACTTTAAAACATACGTGAGTTTTTCCGCTGCCTGTCTGGCCGTATGCAAAACAAGTCGCCATTCCTTGGTTAAATATCGTGTCCACAAGCGGCTTGGCTGTGTATCTGGGAAAACAACGGGCATTGGATGGGTTAAAGATAAGATTTAGAAGGCTTTTAGGCCTTGATATAGCGGTATGACCATTAAATTTTCGACAAAGATCTCTGCATTCTCATGCATCAAGTATCTTCATAGGTATTGCTATTCTTCGTGAAAAGATTACAAATCTGTACAAACGAAAAAGGTTATAAATACAACCGTAATCCGGAAGTTTAATTTTGATGAATTACGATTACAAAATTAAGTAGATAGAGCGCTTTTCGATGAAATGTTGTAAAATCAAAACCAAACTTATCGCAAGGACCAATACATAATCAGTAGAAAGTTCCATACCATTAAGAACCAATAAGAACTCAAAGTAAAACCCAGCAAACCGCCCAAAGCTCGGAAAAAAGCGGGCGACCAAGTCGGGATTGGTTTTAGTTTTGCATCTGATTGGTTGAGAGAGCGGCGCATTTTTTTTGGACCAATCACTGGGCGGAGTAAAGCTAAACCAATCCAATCTTGGATTACCTACGATACTCCATTTAAAATTGCTCAAAGACTTACCTGTATACCAATTCATTATTCGCATTTTCGTCAAAAGCGTAATCAAACCTATGGAAATATAAATCAACAACGATATCACAGTTTAAAAGAAGGAATCTGTTCTGTCATAGGCATAGGGAGACAAATGCGAGACAAAATCAGCCAGTAAAGGGAGGAAGTATTTGTGAAAATAAATAGTTGGGAAGACTGTCCTTTAAAACATACAATTTGATAGCTCAATGAGACCAACAGTAAACATCGAAAAACGAATGTGAAAGACAGAGTTCTCATTAAAGGTTTCTTCGAATACACAAAGTTTTGAGAAGTTGAGTGAATCAATACATGGAAAAAAGATTCATAACTGTTCTGAATACAGAACAACAACAACAAAAACATTTACCAGAATTTGTGATTCTCCAGGTATTTTGTGAGGTCAACTTTCAGTTTTGGTTCATGAACCTTACAAAAGAAAAAAAAAATGAGCATTAAATCAAGGTAAAAAATGTTCCTGCCAAGAACTGAGTCAGTGCATGTACTACAATTCACAAACATAATTTAGCTCACAATTAAACAAGTGTGCATACACTTACCACACAATAATCACCCTTGGGTACAATGATAACATCAATTTCCTTTTTGGTGAGTTCTGAACAAACATAAAATTGTAAATAATCTGACTGCAATGATATTGAGCCAATCTTTATTCATTCTAATATGAAGAACAATGAAACAAAACATAAAAAGGACTCCTAATCATTATTAAACCATTCAGTGGTGCCCTGTATTCAAGACTTCATCTGTATTGATGAACCCTGACAATGTCTGTTACCTTTCTTTGACAGAGGCCGTTTGCGGACACAAACACAAATCTGATGGTCCATCACCTGTTTGAAAAAAACAAAAAAAACACAGACAACATGAAGTTTTTCTATTTCCTATTTTCCTGTGTTAGAAATAAAATCTTGGCACACACTAACTAGGCAGCCATTACTGACTAACTTCCAAGACACTGACTTTTTTCAAAGTATTTAAAAATAACCTCCAACTCTCAGAAGTGATTAACATATAACTTCTCTCTACAGTATCTATACACTTTCTGGCAAACAGGTAATGAGAATAATCAAAGCTATCAAGGGGAGGTTGTTATCTCAGTTGATCCATCGCCCAATTCTTACATCTAATTTACATGGAAATGTATAGCAGCTAAAAGGGAGAATGAACAATCAGATCTTGGTAGTTAAATGGTTAAAATTCATCACAATCCTTTGACCACTTAGAATACAGAACAAGAAAATTAATTAACAATTTCAAAAAACCTACCGGGTCAGACATTGTTAACCCTTTAAAATCTAAATCACTTTGATATTCCCTGTTGATTTAAAAAAAATAGAGGCTCTTCATTAGTCATTACGTGATCCATTGTCTATGTTAATTAAAAAAGTAATTGACTGTGCAAGAGAAAATTGTCAAAAAAAGAGAAAAAAATTAAAATTGACGGTTAAGACACCTTATCATTTGTATAAATTCCCAATTAGGATTTCCAGGATCCACCTCTTGCTGAAGTCGAAGTTTCATTTCTCTTTGCTCTTGTTGTTGTGCTCTGAATGGTACACAAAGCAAATTCAAAATTCAAATTCTCATAAATATTCAATATCCAAAGATTTTTCCTCTGGTTAGTGCTGACCAAATTCTTGACTCTCATTTCACTAATGATACATTTTTAATTCTTTTGGTCCCCAAGAACTTTGCCTACCTTCTTTCCTCTCTGTTCTTTTTCAATCTCTCTATCTCTTTAACACAATTGGAACGTCTCCTGTTCACTGGAAAAATTCAAGCAGGTACATTTCTCAGTTATTGTTTATTGAAATATGTGCTTCAAAAATCTGTCTACAGGAGCAAACTCTTTGTACATGTATAGTGGCTTTGAAATTTTTTCACTGGAAACCAAACAAACAAACAGTGACAACAAAACAATAAGGTGCTTTCTGTACCTGGATAAGACTCAGCACTATCTTTCTGTGCTACTTCCATCTGAGAACCTCCATCATCATCATTAG